CACTTACAAGCTGCTTGTGCAAAGTCTTCGAAAAAATGATAAACTGCCGACTTGTACATTTCCTTGAAACAAATAATTTGCTCGACCCATTTCAGTGGGGGTTTCGAGAAGGTAGATCCACCACAGACCACTTTGTTCGTATCGAGGCACAGATCAGAGACGCCTTCGTCCATAAGCAATATTTTCTCTCTGTGTTCCTCGATATCGAAAAGGCTTATGATACAACATGGCGTTTCGGAATTCTAAGAGACCTTTCCCACCTTGGTGTGCGCGGAAGAATGTTTCACATATGTAATCAAAAGTTACCTGTCAAACCGGACATTCCGTGTCCGAGTGGGCACGGTTCTTTCCCAAACATTTGTTCAGGAAACAGGCGTGCCACAAGGTGGTGTACTTAGCTGCACACTTTTTCTCATAAAAATGAATTCCTTGCGCTTGACCATCCCTCGCAATATGTTTTATTTCACATATGTCGATGACGTCCAGCTTGGCTTTAGGTCTTGCAATCTGGCATTGTGTGAGCGGCAGGTTCAGTTAGGTTTAAACAAGCTCTCCAAATGGGCAGAGGAAAACGGATTCCGACTGAACCCACAAAAAAGCACGTGTGTTTTGTTCTCTCGAAAGAGAGGCATGCACTCGGAACCTGACATTCGACTGAACGGGCAACGTCTGTCCGTCAAAGCCGAGCATAAATTCTTAGGCCTAATCTTGGACAACAAGTTGACCTTCGTGCCGTACATCAAGTATCTAAAAACAAAATGTTTAAAAGCCATGAATGTTTTAAAAGTGTTGTCACGTACTACTTGGGGTAGTGATAGGCAATGCCTCATGAACCTCTATAGAAGCCTCATTCGCACCCGCTTAGATTATGGGGCCGTTGTCTATCAGTCTGCTACTCAAAGTGCCTTGAAGATGCTGGACCCCGTGCACCATTTGGGCATCCGCCTTTCTACGGGTGCTTTTCGCACCAGCCCCGTAGAAAGCCTTTACGTTGAGTCAAATGAGTGGTCGCTTCATCTGCAAAGAACCTACATGTCCTTTGTTTACTTCCTTAAGGTGAAAGCAGACAAGGAGCACCCCTCATACTCTACTATTAATGATTTGTCGAGCTCAACTCTGTTTCAAAACAGGCCTTCGATGAGGCAGCCCTTCTCAGTTCGCCTGAAGTGTCTAGCTCAAGAAACCGCAGTGTCACTTGAACACAGTTTAATGGCTCCTGTAGCATACCCGTCACCGTGGCAGTGGCAGACTATAGACTGCGATGTGTCTTTCCTAGAAGTTACAAAACATGCACCTATTGCCCATATCCGAACATACTTTTTGGAACTTCAACACAAATACACACGTCCTGAGTTCTTCACAGATGCCTCCAAGACTAACTCCTCTGTGTCCTACGCTGCTGTCGGCCCATCCTTTTCGGATGCTGGCCCTCTACATCCACGCACAAGTATCTTCACAGCGGAAGCTTACGTGATACTTGTGGCAGCTAAACACATCAAACAATTACAAATACAAAAAGCAGTAATTTATACAGACTCCCTCAGTGTAGTAACGGCTCTGCACACTCTTAAAAAACACAAAAACCCAGTCCTTGTCTCACTTTACTCCATTTTATGCACACTCTACACACTCAAACAACATGTTGTAGTGTGCTGGGTGCCAGGGCACCGTGAGATTCAAGGCAACGTGAGGGCGGATCAGCTCGCTGCATCCGTCCATGAGAGCACCGCCATTACATCCATATCAATCCCGGCCCTTGATCTTAAGCCGTCTCTCAAACGAAACCTCCGGGACTACTGGCAGAGCAAGTGGAATACACACACACAAAACAAACTACACGTTATTAAGCCACACCTTGGTCATTGGCTGCCTGTATCGAAATCGCGTCATACAGAGGTAATACTAACGAGACTCAGGATAGGACACACATACACGACACACACATATCTTTTGTCTGGTGGCGATCCACCATTGTGTGACAGATGTGGTGAACCATTAACCGTCCTTCACATGTTAATCCAGTGTAAACACTTAGAAACTATAAGAAACAACATTTTACATTACCCTACCGACAACATATACCTTTACACCCTGCAATGTTCGTTGGTAGGGAACCGCTTTTTAGTCATAAATCATTGTTAGCGTTTTTAAAAGAAATTAATAATTTTCATATCATACACCCGGGCATTCCGTAGCACGACCTCTCTAGAGAGGTTTTTGCTGCGGCGGTTACACAAGAAAGCACTTGCCTCACGGCCCTTGGACGCAAGGGTATGAACGAGTGAGGCACTTGTGCTAATGCCATTCATATCCACCATCGTTTTTTATAATCACCAACTCTTGTCATCTATCCTCACCACACACACCTTTCACGGCGTGGTCATGATTTTATTACTTGTATGTTTTTACCCGCCTTACCGCGAGGAATTTTATGGCCTTTATACAGCCGCTTATCACAATCATTGTCCATATTCTTAGTAACATGAACTGGCGCTCTTTGGCCGTGAAATGGCCCTTGCGCCACAAAACTTCAAACATCATCATCATCATGTACTGTGTCCCTTTGCTCCATGAGCAGATATCCTTCGAGACCCATACACTCATCAACCTTTTACTGTGTAGTGTTGCGAATTCGCGACATACCGAAAAACTTCGAGCAAACAAGTTATGTCGTGCGTGCCGCCTTTAATGCCGGCTGTCTAGTACTCAAAAGGAACGTAGCTTTAAGCATGCAAAATCTAGCGCTATCTTGTGTAATATATTTTATGCTAGAACCAATTGTTTTGTAGCTGATGGCAGAGAGCGCCAGGCACGTGCAAGAGCGCTTACTGCTTCGTTCTTTCTCGCCTGGCTGACGTAAGTTCTGTCTTCGTTAATTTTGTTTATTTGGTGTGTACACGCTCAAGACGGGCCATACGACATGTTGCGTAGTTCTGAAGTACGTTTTTCATTGCAAAGTCATCACTTCTGTGATATTTCTAATATTCTAATAATAATAGTCTAATAGTATTCTAATAGAATTCACGGCATTCGTAAAAGTATGAGGTGCATTTTAGATAATTTAACTATGGAATAATTTAAAAGTTTCCATACAAAACTGGAAAATGAAAACAATTTTCATTTTTTTCAGCAGTTTCATAATTCAGGCATTAAAGGGTTAACACACGGCCACAGCACAGTAGACCATCGTGCAGTGAGCACGTGGGCATTTTATTAACAGAATGAGCATGGCGTTGAGCTTGCCGGCCGAATCTTACAAATAAATGATGTAACATACGACTAAACAACCCAATTTAATGTCCATAAAACACAGATAACATGACACGTTTAATGTAGCACAAATGCAGTGTCGCCAGCGTTCAACTCAACATGGGAGTCCGCGGCAGCGAGTCGCGCAATCGCACCCTGGGGCCTCCCCTGGGTTCGATAAAAACTGAAATCGAAACTGATCACACTCAGTGCACAGAAAACACGGCTTCACTGTTATATCAGGCCAGGAAGCCAAAGAAGTGATGAAACTTGAATGGAGGTGCACAGTGGGTTTATATTTCGAGCTGTGCGCAAGAAAACTGCAATATCAGCCTTCTCTGTCTCTGTGAAGTGTAAAACTCTGAGAAGAATAACAGAGATAGGCAATACACACCAAACGCCAATAATGTGCGGTCCTTTTGGGTACTTGGGATGTGTTGCGACATATGGCATTGACGGGAAATGCGAGAGCCACACAGCTTGACTCGGTGTCGTCTGTTGCCATGTTCTCGGGGATGGTGGTGCTGTAGCGGCGCACGTCGAGATTGCATCGCAGCGTGCTGTGGTGGGACGTAGTTGCAAATTTTGCATGTTTTGCTGCGACACGCCTTTTTAAAAAAGTTATCTCGTGAGCTTCCGGTCTGCCGTAACAAAGCTGATGAAATTCCTGCGCGCCCAGTGCACCAAGTTTTGTTTTTGCCTGAATCGGGGTTTTATGGATTTGGTGACGTTATCTCAAATTGTACAGGGGGACCTTTTTGAAAATTAAAAAAAGGGCATGCCATAAACTGTCATGTTGTACGACTCATTTATGTTAACAATGGCTGCCAAGCTAATTATATAAATAATAATTCTTTTTAATTACTCATTTGAATGTAAGTTTAGGTGTGATAAAGCTTTTCCGCCTCAGCGTAGAGTTTATTTGCAAAGATGACGACGGCCTAACTTTCATAGCAGTTTTATTTAAAAATTTGTAATGTTTAAAAAAAAAGACCTTTCATATAGTGTTATTGGTTCGCACATTTGGACACTTTTGGGGAAGCTCGACTTGCAACAGATCCTTGTCTGTTGGGCATCAAGATGCATCGTAAAATTTTCATTTGAAAGCACTACGAGAAAGCCCTTGCTACTTGCAGATATGCCTCAGTGAGAGGGATGGTTGTGTTTGATTGGGTGGTGTTTCCTGTAACTCATGCAGAATACTTTCTGAAGGGCATTTGGCGTCAGGCTTTGCAAAATATATTGATGCTGATCTCTAGAGTGACTGAAATTTGGATGCCGATTCTGAAATGTAGAATTTTATTCCACGGGAATATTGAACTCATGAAGCCCTCATGGGAAGCCTTACGAAATATATGTTTGAGACCAGTCATGTCTGTGTAGCTAATGCAGATACTGATTAAGAAAAAAAATTAGGATGAAAACAGTCATTTGCAGGCTGTAAAAATGTGGCCCACGGGCCTTGTGTTTTAGACCCCTGCTGCTTCGAGTATGTATGTGCAGTAGTAATATGTTTGATTGAAACTTGTTCTGAGAAATATGCACTCAAAATGTATGCTGAAGTTCATTGCTGCATTGATGACTTTTGTTGAACGGGATTTTACAGGCATGACAATAATGCGCTTAATAGGTGTAGCAGAGTTATCAGTTTGAATTTAGTGACATATTTTGTGTTAACTGTTTCACCTCCTCACCTGCTGCTTAGTAGCTTTATTTGAGATGACACTCCAGCTTATTTTTCTTGTTTACAGCATTAGATAGCTGTGCACATGTGACGCACATGGAGCTGGTACAGTATGGTCCCTTTACCCTTGAGCATGCACTGCCAAGCTACCGATGGTCATGGGAAGAAGCCAAAGCAACCTCTGAGAAGCTGCACACCCTTTGGTACACCCACGTTGGAGACATGCGAAATGAAATGAAGGACAGGGCGAGCCACTTTGGAAATGTCGCCAGGTACTTTTAGAAGAAATGTATAGGCTTACAATAAATTATGCTACGTCAATTATTCTTTGGTGCATATGTGGTATTCATTTCCTATAAGAGTGATTAGAACATTTTAAGCTGAAGAAAGGATTTCACACTTTGTGGAAGAAATTGTGCTTGCAAAAAAGCTGTGTTTGCTATCTATTGCCTCGTCCTCTTGTTTTACAAAGACTGGAGGCTGTGTTCCTTGACTAAGTTCTGGCACTTGCTCATCAGCGTTTGTGTGGCCTGGTGTATTTGTTAAGTTTGTGTTTCGTGCACTGATGGTGTGGATCTCGGAGACCACGCAGAAATAAGTCCGTAGTTCTGCGTCGCCAGGTGCCGCAACAATTCCAGCTGCTCTAGGGTGCCTGGATCAAGGCGCCATGAACTGCTCACAATCTTTCCATGAACAGGTAGTGTACAGCAGCGGAAGCACAAAGGAAGGAAGCAGAAAAAAAAATGCCAGGAAGGAGCGCAATGGTTGGGACCTGCGCTCTTTCCTGTGTCTTTTTGTTTCCTTGCACTTGCACTGTATGCTACCCGTTCAATGATACGAACCAACTAGTTCGCTAGAAGCTCTTATTGCAAAATCTTTCGATGAAGTTAGGCAATCTTCATTTATTATTCTTACAGTTATTATCTTAAGTTATGCTGTTATATCACATGTATATGATATTGTAACGCGGACTGAAAGAGCGAGGAAGAAGAAGAGATCGGACGCGCTCGAGCGATGGTGATTCGGCAGTGACGGTAGAGCACTGACATTTTTCATTGTAAATAAACCCATCACATCCGTAACAGCTTTGGTGGAGGTGCTGGGTAACTTGCCATCTTGGACCCCGCAGCAGAAGTTCTTCGAAGAAGCAGACGCTTAGCTGGCCTACCTCCGGACAACATCAGCATGAACGACGACACAGCAATCCCATCGACGTCCTACGCTGCTGCATCCACCAGTGCCACCGACACGGCACAAGGTGGCCGTCGACCTCGACAACCAGACTACTGGGCACCTAAGCCACGAATTTTCTCAGGTAAAACGGACGAAGATGTGGACGCTTGGCTAAAACACTTCGAGAGAGTGAGCCGCTACTACGAATGGGGCGCACCGGCGAAGCTCGTGAACGTAGTATTCTTCCTTGCCGGGACAGCCTTGCTTTGGTTTGAGAACCATGAACATGTCCTCCCCACTTGGGATATATTTGTTAAGGAACTGAAGGCCTGCTTTGGGGACACGAGTTCCATGAAAAAGAAAGCTGAGCAAACGCTGTCACGTAGGGCTCAGTTGCCCGGCGAGACGTGCACAACCTACATTGAAGAAGTGTTGAAGCTTTGCGGAATTGTCAACGCAAATATGTCTGACGAAGACAAAGTCGGTCATTTGTTGAAAGGCATCGCCGAGGACGTGTACAATTTTTTGATAACAAAAGAAAACTTGAACACTCCTTCGATTTTCAGGCAGCAGTGTCGCGCATTCGAGGCGTTGAAGACCCGAAGAATTTTACCCAAGTTCGGGCGCTTGGACAATGTTCCCACTGTCGCAAGTATGGACGTCGCCACCTGCGAAGACATTTCCTACCTCGTACGTCGGGTAGTTCGAGAAGAGCTCGTACGACTTCAAGCAGGTGACGTTCACCACCAATGCTCGTTCGCCGCGTGCCCCGAACCACCTCCCTACTGGATGCGAGAGCATCACGTCGAAAACCGACCACGCACAGAAACTGCAGATTTTACCCCGCGGCTTCCGTTTTCCCCGACGGGTCGTGGCCACCACCGGATGTCATCATCTCGACGTGCCGCTGCGGACCCCCGACCGTCGTCAACCAGGCCTCTACCAGAAGATTACTATGCTTCATCACAAAATGTTCCTGCGGAGCACGACCCGTCTCCGCGTACTTCTGCCACATCTGCTCCGGCTAACGTAAGTCGACAAGTCCCCATTTGCTACACATGTGGTCTCCCAGGGCATATTTCGCGCTTCTGTCCCAGACGGCCGCCTGCACCGCCACGTTTTTCGACGTATCCGGCTCGTATGTACGAAACGCCTGTGCCGCCACGTTTTTCGACGCACCCGCCTCGTATGCACGAAACCTGGACCTCTCACTCGGCCGACCACCGTCCCCGACAGCAATGGCCAAACGAATTTCGCAGCGAGCCCCTGCCTCCGAGAGAAGCCTGACGCCGCCTCCGACACGGTCCCGCCGGTCGCCGTCTCCGCGTCGTCGGTCACCTTCCCCGCATCAGCTGGGAAACTAACTGGTGCGACCGATGGAGGTGCGGTCGCGGGACGGTCAGTTTCGCCAATTCCTCCTTCTGCTGTGATGTTGATGAACAAAGTGCGTGTGTGTATAGACGGTGTAGATACTCTTGCTCTTGTAGACACTGGTGCTGCTGTTTCGGTTATGAGCCTTCGTTTCAAACATCGTTTCTTGGGTCACAAAGTTATGTTCGCGTGGAATCGTAAAGAAACTTTTCGTGGAGTTGGAGGCGAAACGTTATGCCCTGTTGGTATTTGTTCAGTTGTACTCACGATTGGTGGACAAAATTTCCGAGTTGAATTCACCGTACTGGCTCTCGCAACTCATGACATCATTTTAGGGATAGACCTCCTTCATGAATGCGGCGCTACGCTTGACTGTGGAACTGGAGAGATTCTTCTACAAAGTACGTTGCCCGCTGCAATAGTTGACGATTTTACGACTCTGCCCATCGATGCTCTTTCGTTGTCTGAAGATGTGACGATCCCTGGTCGGACAGCAGTGTTTGTACCCGTGTGCTCTTCTCATGTCCGCTCAGGACCCTGCACTGGACTTGTGGAGCCTGATCATGCAAACGCCATTAAGAAGAATGTGCTGGTCCCACGGTCTGTCCTTACAGCCATCGACGGACATGCTTGCTTGTGGGCACTCAACGCAGCCTCAGAGCCTGTTGTTCTACCAGCCGGATTCAAACTGGGTACGTTCGAGGAGCAGGCCACAATTGACGTGAGAATGGTCTCAGAGTCTCCAGCTATCAGTCAGACTGCGCCCAACTACTCAGCCGAGATTAAACGTATGATCAACAAGTCGTTGCCTTCTTCCGAGCAGAATGTCCTTGAGGAGGTACTTACACGCTACGCGGGAGTCTTTGATTTCGCTCAAAACAAGCGTTGTTCCATGTTGCCCGAATCCCGTATGCACCACCGCATCAACACGGGAGATGCTACACCGATACGCCAGAAACCCTATCGCGTATCCCCGTCAGAGAGGCAAGTGATCGCCGATCAGGTCAACGACATGCTGCAGAAAGGCGTTATTCAAAAGTCAAGCAGTCCCTGGGCAGCTCCTGTTATATTGGTAACATAACACGAACACAACCATCGGCTTAGCGTTGTTCTAGACTGCGTCAAACAAGCTGGTCTCGTTTTAAACGCAAAGAAGTGTCATTTTGGTGAGCGTCAAGCCCTTGTGCTTGGATATCTAGTTGACAAGGACGGTATACGACCAGACCCGCACAAAATCAGTGCTGTCCGAGACTTCAAGCAACCGACGTCTTTGAAGGATCTCCGTAGCTTCGTGGGCCTGTGTTCTTATTTTCGTCGGTTTATCAAAGACTTCGCCCAGCTTGCTCATCCCCTGACAGAGTTGCTCCGCAAAAACACTCCATTTCGATGGACCATTGAGTGTGAGGCTGCTTTCGAGCAGCTGAAGTATTTGCTTACTTCCGGGCCCCTCTTGCGCCATTTCGACCCGGAGGCACTCACGGAACTGTATACAGATGCTAGTGGTATCGGAGTTGGTGCCGTGCTAGTTCAATATCACGATAGCCGGCAGCACGTCGTGGCGTATGCAAGTCGTACTTTGACTAAGGCGGAGAGGAATTATACGGTCACCGAACTGGAATGTCTTGCAGTTGTTTTCGCCGTCCAAAAGTTCAGACCTTATTTGTACGGCCGGCAGTTCAAGATCGTCACAGATCATCATTCGCTTTGTTGGCTTGTCGGACTACGTGACCCAGCTGGTCGGTTGGCTCGCTGGGCCCTACGGCTTCAAGAATATAATTATTCTGTGACCTACAAGAGCGGTCGATGTCACGCAGATGCCGAGTGCTTATCTCGTCTTCCATCTCCAACTGTGGATGCTGATGATGATGATTTTGACAACTACCTGGCCGCAATCTCATCCAACTTCCCAAATTTGGATGTCTTTCGTCACGAACAACATCGTGACCCTTCGCTGAAACCAATGATTGATGTGGCTCGTAGCTCTAAACACGCCACGCCATTCGTGATTCATGACGCCCTACTATATCGCAAGAATTACTCCAGCCATGGTTCCACACTACTACTCGTCGTGCCAGAATGCCTGCGTCTTGCGGTATTCCAAGCCATGCACGATGACATCACGTCTGGGCACCTTGGATTTGCCCGAACGCTTCACCGTATCCGACAACGTTTTTACTGGCCTCGACTCTGGAAGACCACCAAGCACTACGTCGCAAGTTGTGATGTCTGCCAACGCCACAAACAACCTACCACACCATCGGCCGGCCCACTGCAGCCGGTTAAGCCACCGACATCACCATTCGAAAAAGTCGGCATAGATTTACTGGGCCCTTTCCCCAAGTCTACCACCGGCCGCCGCTGGATTATTGTGTGCGTAGATTACCTGACGCGGTATACTGAAACGATGGCGGTTGCTTCAGCCACATCATCTGATGTGTCATGGTTTCTTCTACACTCGATCATACTTCGTCACGGGGCCCCTCGTGTGGTGATAAGTGATCGCGGCCGACAGTTTACCGCTGACGTTGTCGAAGAGTTGCTACGGCTTTGTGGGTGTCAGTATCGCCATTCCACGCCATACCACCCTCAGACCAACGGCCTCACTGAGCGCACCAATCGTACCATCATCAACATGCTTTCAATGTACGTCGCAGCGGATCACAAGAACTGGGATGCCGTATTACCTTTTGTTACATACGCCTTTAATACCGCGAAACACGAAGTCACAGGTTATACGCCTTTCTTTCTTCTCTATGCTCGTCATCCGCAAAGTTTCCTTGAC